ATCTCTTCGCAGCGCCAATGAATAGAGACGATCGGAAAGGACTAGGTAATCGACGATTCGAGCCACTCTCTCACTGGATGCGGTCAAGTGGAAGGAGTTGGCACTGGGGAGCCCCAGCCCAGAGATGGGAACAGTATTCCATGTGAGGCCGAACCTACGCCTTGTAAAGTTGCAGGCGTTGTGCCGGCATGAAATACTGTCCCGCTCTGCTGAGCACGCCAACCTTTTTAGAGGCCAATTTGGCCTTTTCTTCCAAGTGACCACGAAACTGCACTTCACTCGATATTAACGCCCGCAACCGCCTGCCACCACTGATACGCCAACTACCCAAGCAACACAACTTTGGGGACGTGCTCGAACTGCATTTCGGAAATATTCAATAAGCATAGAATGAGACTGGTTATTCTCAATGTTTCGTTGCGCCGCGTCTGCGGAATATATAAGCGAGCCGTCGAGCACGGAGAGGCAGTTCTCTCTTGGAAAGTGATCCAATGCGACTAAGGCGATATAAGCGAAGTAATAGTGAAGTATGTGATATAATAGTGTTGTGAATTAGGATTAAAGTAAGTGGTGTTATAACTTTTGTAATTAAAATGAAAAGGATTTGAGGCCTAAGAGTAGACTACCTACTCGTATTCATTTTCTTTTAAATCTTTATCGGAGTAAATATTTGTGTACAAATGGAATTAATACTTGGTTGTTTTTTTTTAATTGTTAGAGGTCGGCTCAACATTTGGAATGGCAAAAAGGACGCAAGAAAATACATTATTCAAATATTTATTTAAAAAATCTAAACCTGATACTGGTAGTCAAGGTTCTACTGAAAATCAGTGTTCAAGTGTTTTCGACAGTGATACCGCTACAAGTAGTTCTGATACTTCTGCTGCCGTTCCTGGGACTGTGCATGATGTTTCTCAGCATGTTTTAGATGTGTGGTATTTATCGGGATCAAACACCAAAATTGATGATGATTTAAAATACAGATTGTTGAAATCTCCTTGGATGCCAGAAAAGACATTCAAGTTTTCAGTAAGCGACGATAAAAGAAAGCTAAAATTTCAAATGTAATGGTTTGAACGGTTCTCGTGGTTGGTTTATACGAGTACAGGTCAACAAGGTGCTTTATGCACATATTGTATATTATATGCCAGAAATTGCGCAGATAAAGGCTCCCATCAGCATTTGAAATTCTTAGTTACTCATCATCATCATCATCATTACAGCCCTTCACAAGTCCACTGCTGAACATAGGCCTCCCCCAAGGAATGCCACAAAGCACTGTCCTGAGCCACCTGCATCCATCGACTTCCTGAATATCTTACCAGGTCGTCACTCCATCTAGTGGGGGGACGCCCAACACTTCGCCTGCCGGTACGAGGCTGCCACTCGAGAACCTTTCTTCCCCATCGATTGTCGGTTCTTCGAGCTATATGGCCGGCCCATTGTCACTTCAGCTTACTAATCCGTTGGGCTATGTCGGTCGCTCTGGTTCTACTGCGGATATCCTCATTTCTGAGTTTATCACGCAGAGAAACTCCGAGCATAGCCCTCTCCATAGCTCGCTGCGCGACCTTGAGCTTCCTCATCCGGCCAGCAGTGAAGGACCACGTCTCAGTTCCGTATGTCATCACTGGCAACATGCACTGGTTGTACAGTCTCGTTTTTAAGTTTTGAGGTATACCTGACGAGAAGATGTGCCGTAATTTCCCGAACGCTGCCCAACTGAGTTGAATCCGTCGATTGACTTCTTGGTCGAAGTTGGACTTACCTAGTCGGACTATTTATCCCAGGTAAACATACTCGTCAACAACTTCGAGCTTAGTGCTCCCAACCAGTTACTCAGCCGCTCACTAAATGGAAAGATGCTGTACATGATTTAAAACATCACAATGAAAGCCATTACCACACATCTTCTGTATTATTGGCTGATAATTTTATGAAGGTGTATAATAAACCTCAACCAAATATAATAAGTCAGATTGATGGCGGATACCTAGCGCAAATAGCTGAAAATCTATATAAAAATCTTATCTATATTAATCTATAAAAAGAAAGTGTCACGATAAATATTGGCGGCGGTGCAACAGTTGTAGATGTGTTTTTTCTTGTACTAATAAAAAATTATCTTGATTAATAAATGTTTTTAACTTATAAGTATGTACAAAATGTTAATAAATGATAATGAGTATTCATCATCATGATCATCACCATAACAGCCTTTCACAAGTCCACTGCTGAACACAGGCCTCCAAGAAATGCCACAAAGCATGGTCCTGAGCCACCTACTGACCTACACCTGACTTCTTGCATATCTTACCAGGTAATCACTCCATCTAGAGGAGGGTCGCCCGACACTTCACCTACGGGTAAGAGGCTGCCACTCAAGAATATTTTTTTCCCTATCGGTTGTCGGTTCTTCGAGCTATATGGCCGGTCAATTCCCACTTCAGCTTCCTAATCCGTAACGAGTATTATCACCAAAAACATTTTATTTCCATTTTCGTGACAACACCTAGCATACACGGAGGCATCACCTGACATCAAAGATGTTTCACACCTGTAAGGTCTCTAAACTCTAGTATTTTAATTTTGGTGTCATGACATAAGTGTAAGATATGCCTGACGGCCAATATTAGTTGAAACAACACTTGAAGGGCTAAATCAATAATAGCCGATATTGATAAAATTCCAATTTAAATTGTTTTAGCGGAATATACCTGACCAAATATTGCTTATAGTCTCACAATTTACAATATCAAAAGATAAGAAGCATGTTAATGATTCAGAAAGATCAAGTCCATAGTCTCCTAGTTACTGATGGGGTGGTACCATGACCTCATAGAATACCAGCGTGAAGTAGAAGCTCTGCGTCTGCGTTTCGTCTGATGATTCCTGACCTGCGATTTCCCTGGTGTTGCAGTTGTTCATGGGCATCAGTAGTCACTTACCATCAGCTGAGCTGCATACACGTTTCTCCCCTCTTCTATAAAAAAATATCTAGCTTGCTACTTATTTATCTATGCTCGATACTGACATAAATGAAGACATGGCCTAAAGGTCTAGATGCCAGGCCATAAACTCCAAAAAAAAATGAAGACATGGTTTAAAAAAACAAGCATCCAAGCCAAAACTCTAAATAAAAATGACGTCGTTTGTTCTGTCACTGTCAGCAGTCAGCAGTCTCTGTCACTGCCGCAGTCACTGCTCACTGCGTCTAAGTCTAAATTTGGTCTAAATGATTTGTGTACACTGGCAGAATTCTATCAAGAGAAGCCATAATTTAAAAGAAGAAGAAGAAGATTTGTATACATAGTACAGGAGTCGTATTAAATTTAAAATAAATTATGTATCTAAAATAATACCTTTGAGTTTAAGTCGTATTTATTACAGCTGAAATGGTTGACGAAGAGAGGATTCACCGTATTAAAGTTAAGTGTTTTACTATCAAAGATATGCTCAAATTTAACATTTTTAGTATGTGTGTTATTAAAATCATGTGTATTAAATACGTGTACCTAATAAATTTATTTTACGTTTACAGCGGGTGTTTTCTTAGCGTCTGTTGCAGGAATTTCTGCATTTGCGGGCTTTAGTGCTACTGTAGCCGCTGCTAAAAGAACAGACCCGAAGTATTTTAACAAAGGTAATGTACATTAAGTAATTTCCTTCTGGCTTTGTTGCATATCAAAATATAAGTTTTTGTTGCATATCAAAATATAAGTTTTTGTCAGACTTTTCAATGTACCCTGACTAATATAACAATATTTTTAGGTCTACACAGTAGTGTAGAGTTAGCGGACGCAGGTGCACTTTTAGCTTTACGTGCACTAGGATGGGGCACAATATATGCTTTAGCTGGTACATCATGCTTATGTTATGGCGTTTGGAAGTTTTCTGGTGCTAAAGATGTAAGTAAAATTTCTATGGGAATATTCATTAGACACAAAATGGACTGATTTTACTGAACAATAGATATATAGTAGAATGCCGATCAACCAAATCACCAATTATCTGAATTGGTCCTATGCGCAATATAAAAAATTAAAACCAAGTACTGTAAGTAATGTAATTTTTGTTTTGTTTTGTTGCAACAAGTTGGAACTCGCTGGAGTCGTAGGTGTCCTTGTTTGCTTATTCAGCAACACAATGGCAATTTATCCTATATAAAACATGAGTCCGTTTGTGCATGAAGTACTGCTGTCACATATAAGCTGGTGCCGCAATATGCCACCTAGCAGCATCTAACTCTGTGGAGAGACATACTAAGAGGCTTATTGGTAACCTTGTTTGGATTGAAACCAATCTCGTCAGCCTCAAGCACAGGTGCATTTTCCATTTTCTATGGGATGTATTTCGGAGTGTGCACTAGAATTAAATAATTGAATTCAACTCCCTCCTTTTTCTACCATCATACAACTAGGGGTGAAATCATTTCACAGCATCTGCCTTTCCATCCAGTAACAATCTGGATACCATATATGTGAGAGCAAATGGACTTGATTGCTGAGCTGCAGGTTTAAATACTGCACAGAAATAGTATTTCCATGGCATACAGATAATTATTCCAGTTCTGGACATTTGCCCTTGTACAATTTTTGTATGAACACCATGCCAATAATGTTCAACACGCCACCGCTGACATTTTCCAATGTAGCATCTGTTTTTTATATAATATAGAATAATTTATATTTATGTTATAATATTTAGCATAGATAATAATTTAATATATATGTATATGTGCCACACCTGCACAATCTGTATTTCATAATCTATAATTTGCATTGATAAGGGCGTCTGCTCTTGTACATATTACATGTTATATCAATGATTATAATATAATTTTATATTTCAGCTTAAAGACTTCAGGATAAAAATAGGAAATTTATTACCAGTACTTCCAAAAAATAATCCTCCGCAGTCAAGAACAGAATTTAGTGGTCTAAATGACCTGCTTACATATATAGCTGATGATTATGGGAAGAAACCAGTGAAAGATAATTAATTAGGTATGTTATTTATTATTTTAAAAATAAATACAGTTCAATTACATAAATCTTGTTTGACTACATATTCTTCTTTATATGCAGGGCCATTATTACAACTGTTTTTACAAGTATATATAGCAAGAATCCCCCAATCAATGCTATTAATATCAATACCAATATTGATAAAATTAAGAAGTTGTGGCATAACCTGAAAAAAAAATGCCTACTTATAAACAGTTTCTAAGCATCATAAAATACTTATAATAATATTAAGCTGTGAATGTAAGTAGTAAATAAAAATTAACATTCAATATGTACAAATTAATTTATATTGAATAAAATATAATATTGTATTTTATTCTATTCTAACGCACACATGTAGTGTGTTGCTGCAAGAACAAGAATGTGGTTAGAGGTCAGATTATTACTGGAGATAGAACTTAGTATCATGATTATATATAACATAGTTATACCATATACATAATGTAGTTAATTATCATTTTTATTTTGTTTTTATTCTATATTGCTAAACCTAAGTCAAATTCTTACCACTCCATGGGTTGACTGGTAGAGAATGCCTCAAGACATTAAGTCTGCGCTTTGTATTCTTTTACATTAAAGAATGTAATAAAAGAAGGAGCGGTAGACCACAGAGAAGGTGGGATGACAATATCAGACTAGTCGCAGGAATTACATGGGGTAGAGTGGCCATAGAAAGGCCAGAATGGAGAAGATTGGAGAAGGCCTTTGCCACCTGGCAAACGGACACACAAAATTGGAACAAAAGAAAAATATATGAATAATAAAGAAATACTATTTTTTGTCCGATTAAAGGCTTATTATTATTATTATTATTATAATAAAGAATAAATAAATAAATTATAAGCCTGAGCCTAAGTAAGATTTAATACAATGGCATAAAAAGGCACATCATTCTTCGAGAAATTGTAATTGAAAGTATTTCAATCGGTTAAAAAACTCTATAGCATTTACTAATTCTGTACTAACTGACCATAGTGATTGTATAATTGTTCTTTTTTTCATAGGTTAGAAAGATTTGCAAGCCCGATGTGAGGCCAACTAGTGCAAGCAGGATGGTTCAATATGCTTCGTCGATCGACTCAATGTGTTAGCACATTATTGGCCTTATGATATTTGATGTTTCACGAAAATTTAATCAATTTACGTTCAGTTAGCAGGTCGTGCCAAGCTTTTGGCTTATATGGAAATTGAAGTAAAGCTACTGATGGCTTTCCAAAGTATCTGGTTCTGGTCACTTATGATAAGAACCAAAGACCCTTTTTAATGGTAATGAGGCATTCTATCAGAGTCCTCGGTGGATATAATGCATCCACACAAAACAAAGAAAATTGAAGGACTTCAATATTCCAATGACAATTACTATAGCTATACAAGTATAAAAATCATATTAATTTTTATCAAAATTTAAAATTTTTACGGTCACTGTGATTCATTGTAATTTGCACCTTATTACATAATAGTACCCGGGCGACTTAGAAATGAGAATATTCACAAAAGGATCAGAGTAGCCGACATAGCCCAATGGATCAAGTATGGTAAAGTCGTAAGTGGCTCTCAAGTATAGCTCGAAGAACTGACAACCAATTCTTTTCGAGTTTCAGTCTCATATCAGTAAGCAGTGTAGAGCGGCCATTATAACTAGATGGAGTGACAACCTGGGAAGAAATATGCAGGAAGTCGATGGATGCAAGTGGCACAGAACCATCCTTTGTGACATTCCTTGGGGAATGCCTATGTTCAGCTATGGAATTTGTGAAGAGCTTGTAATGATGATGATGATGAACGATGACTGACGATCAGTAATTAAGGTCAGCACTTGACTGTGTCCTAAGGCATAATAAAATACAATGAAGTGTCAGCTAATTACTGTTCCAATGCACTTGATTTCACTGCATCAAACTTCAAAAAGAGAAGGCTACATAAGCATTCCTTTTCAAGATTTCCTTTTCTGACGGCTAATTAGTCAACACGCACGTCACTTGTCTCTGTCGAAATTTATCGAAAATTAGTGTTAAATAGTGTCAAATCAGTGCTGAGGAACTAAATAACATCAAAATAAACATTAACAATCACATACGAAGTGCATTCGCAGTGCTAGTGAAAAAATCTTGCCAAGAAAATCATAAAAACTACACGATAATATAACCTAAAAATTATAGAAGCTATCATATATCATAGATTAGAGATTACTGTGTACTAGGGATGTGAAAAAATAATCGATTTTCATATTAATCGATTATTTTTTTCTTATAATCGATTTTCCGAAGTAGATTTTTTTTAACAAAAATCGATTTTTAATAAATCGATTTTTATGTAAATTACGCGTTTCAATCGATTTTTTGTAATCAGAGTCATCTGTGCGATGGATGTAAAAACGTGAGAAGAAAGTTCAATAACATGAATAAGTCAATCAAAAGACGGCGCCAACTTTATGTATCTTTATGTATGTAAAACAGTTTCGCTTTTCGTATGTTTTCAACAGGTTTCTTCCTCCGCTAGGAGTAAAAGTATTCTGTGGTTTTCTTTCTTTCTTTGCTTAGTGTAAACAATTATATATAAACAATAAAAATGTCTTGTGAAACGCGTAAAAGTGACTGACAGAAGTATTTTATAATGAAAAAATGATAGCGGCCAACATGTCAATAGGCAAAAATACTGAATTGGATCTATACAGGATATTTTTAGAACGCTCCCGAAAACTAAGACAGGCGACAGCACCAAGTATACCTTTGATCATGGGTAACACATAAATTCGATCCTGATGAAAAAAAAATCATCTTTTTACAACGTTTTATTAGCTTTATTCACGCTCTATCATGTTAGTACAGCTAAATGAAACGATAATTTCATAAAAAAAAATCATGAAAATACTGAAACATAAAACCAGCAGTGGAATTACTGAATTGATATCAGCTGATTTGAGGTCAATGTACGCGCGAACGCAAATTCGCGCGGCCCGCAACTAGCACATTACCTAATAATTTACAACACTTGTCTAAATACCTAACTTATCTACTCAACCTACTATTTTGCCACTGCACTTGTCTCCACGTAGCCACTTTAATACGAATTTACAGGTTAAATAACCCAAATAACTGGTTCGATTCCCCGCTAATGAAAAAATACTTAAATTAATGAAATGTAACCAAGATTGGAGTCATGCGTTTTTATTCATCGTGTAGGTATGTTTATTATTCTCATGTATTCAGTTATGTACCTATTCAGATTAGTCCAGTACTAAGTTATTTAAAAAAAATACTTATGAAACAGCTTACCGCTCTAAATCCTCCGTGGTCTTATGAGATGCGGCTCAAATTGTGCTCCATTCATTTCAAGGCAGATTTGGGCTCGGTGTTGCATCTCCTCATGCAGGCGGGGCATCATCGTGTGGTCTTCGACACAGTCCGTACGTAGTTTGTCGAAAACATCCACGATCCTTTGGCGCATTTCATCAGCACTATCACACTCGCGATTAAAAACCCTTTCTTTCACATACCCCCACAGAAAGAAGTCCAACGGGGTCAGATCTGGTGAGCGAGGTGGCCAAGCGTGTGGTCCTAGTCTGCCGATCCAGCGATCATCAAATAGCTCATTGAGGCGCTCACGGACTAACCTCACGACATGTGGAGGGGCACCATCATGCTGGAGCCATGTGCGGCGATATTCAGCCAACGATAGGTCGTCTAAAATGTCCACCAATTGTTCATTTATGAATTTCAGGTATCGCTGTCCGTTAAGTCGCTGTGGCAGAAACACTGGTCCTAGTATGCGATTCTTAAATAAACCTGCCCATACGTTAACCGACCATCGGGTTTGGTGCCCGGTTTGTCGAACAGCGTGCGGGTTAACCTCTGAATACACGTGTGTATTTCTTCGGTTCCACAGGCCGTTTCTGGTAAATGTTGACTCGTCCGTCCAGATGACGTGCTCAATGAAACCAGGCACACGTTGTTGTTGGTCTAATAACCAACGGCAGAAGATTCGCCGGCGGTCGTGATCGCCGGTAACTAACGCTTGCACTTTGTACACTTTATATGGGCGCAGTCGGTTACGCTTTAACACTTTGTGAACTGTACAGTATGATATACTTGTTCCATCGCGACGCCTTAACAATTTAGCGATACTTCGTGTACCTAGGTTCGGATTCCGGCGAACGACATCTAAAATACGCTCCTCTGAGTGAACAGCCACTTGACTTCCACCTCCTGCCGCTACCAGAGCAATGGGCCGATTTTCCAACACTCGCTGAAATGCTGCTGTTATCAGACGAGAGTCAGCTGGATGTCGAGCGGTCGGGAATCTCTCTCGATAAATTCGCAATGCATGCGAAGCATTCCCGCGAGCTTCACCAAGACACATTAACATATTGCCGTATTCACGAGCATTATAAACGTAGGCGTTAGGCATTATAAAAACAAAACAAGAAACTTAAACCGTAACAACAAGAATATACATTAAGTAATAAATAACAAGAATAATTTAATAAACAAAAAAATTGTACTGTCTCTCGCCACAGTCAAGACGGAACTGTAACAAAAACTAAAATTATTAATTTATTCCGCTAAAACAAATGCGGCAATGTCCTTGAAGCACTGGAACTTTCCAGACACCGTTAAAGCGTTATGTATGTTAAGACATCGCCAACGTTTATTTATTTATCACTACGACTAGTCTTCATATGGAATTTAAAAGTTATGGTTGTCATTTTTAATACAATTACACAATCAATTGTACCCTGACGCAACAAGCAGTTCTTTACTACAAAAATTATTGAAATTAATAAACGTACCTAATTGGGTACTCAGTACTCACACAATTATAAACACTATTTCATCGTTATCTTTGTTTTTGTATAAGAAAATAGAAATGAAATGGTACTGAATAATTTAATAGTTAAAATCAATTGCAATTATGATCGACAGTTGATATTATCAATGAGAATTAATGTAAAAAATAATACTTTTATTTTATTATAATTGACTTTTCGTATTTAATCCGGCCAATACTTTGAATTTAAAAAGAGGTTCGTAAATTATTAAAAATGACTTGCAAGTTTTATAGTGATTGCCGCCTCTGATTCTATTGTCGCTGGCAAATTAAATTTCTGTGGAGGGAGTGTTTTGCCTCGGCCACACACATCGCGCTAGCGCAAAGATTCGAGCTAGCACAATGTATGTGACCAGTCCTTCGTGAATACTTCGTAACTTCGTGCGAAGTTTCAAGCACATCACTTCGTTATCGCAATGTATGAGGCCGGCCCTTCGTGAATACTTCGCCACTTCGTGCGAAGTTTCAAGCACATCGCTTCGCTGTCGGTAAATTCCCGCACTTTGCGCATGGGTACAGTCGCGTTCTAAAGTACTACGGCTAAGTCAAGCTAAAATTATTTATATCTATTGTTTTATGACTGAACTAGTGAACGAAAAGGTAAATATGATAGGAGAAGGTGAATGGGGAAAATTGTGCAATAAAGTTAAAAGTGTTGAGGAAGAATACCGAAAAACTTACCATGTGATCGACCTGATGACGGAAGCTCAAGCGAAGATGAAAGTGATGATGAAGTAGCATCCAGTAACACCAACACACCATCAACATCTGGCTTCCATGTGACCCAAGACGACATAATGGACGGCGTGTCACCCTTAGCTTAAGTTTTCTTGTTACAAACTACTTTATATTTTACGATAGAAATAACAAATAATGCTCAAGTAAACATTATCCATTTTTAATTCCAACCTTTTCCAAAGTTCTAAGTAGCTAGTAAAGCACCTATTATGATTCTACAATAAAACAATTAATTACTATAATATTATAAAACAATATCCCAATACCATGTAGTACTTTAGAACGCGACTGTAACTACACTGTATCTAGCTCGGTGCGAAACAATCCGTCGTCGTCGTCGAAACAGCCGTCATAAGAAAAAAGGGCGCATCTAACAATTTTTGAATAAATGAGTTAAATATACCATTCGACTCATCATAAAAAGGCGCATCTACAAAATTTTTTAATATTCAAAAATATCAATATTTTAGAAAATATCGTAAGAATTTTAGACGTAACTGTTGATCACAGATGACATTTTTTTTAGTAGAAAAGACTTATACAAATTATGAAGTGTAGAGTACAAGGAGAACCATCTTATAAGGGGCGAAAGTTGAAAAAGTGTCCTACTATTTACTGAAAATAGAGGTTCCAAAACCTACCACAATAGCGCTGGCGTTTGAAAAACTACGATATGAAGATAGCTGTTATGGACGAAGTGAAGTCAGCTGAATTCAAATATTTAAAAAATTTCATGACTAGAGTAGTTAGTAAAATGCCAGTACACAAAATTTCAACTATTTACGTAGTACAAAACCAAGCGGATTAATCGGTCCTTGTTTATTTCTCCATCTTACTCTAATTACTTTTGGCGCTTTTTTTAATTTATCCTATACTACTGCAGCGCCACCCTTATTCGACACGTTTTTAGGGACACTTTTCATACTATAGAGATGGTCCTCCTTCTCTCTACACTCCACAATACAAATTCGACATAAAAGAAAAGACTTATTTAACCAGTTGCTACGTCATCTTTAACAATCATCATCATCATCATCATCATTACAGCCCTTCACAAGTCCACTGCTGAACATAGGCCTCCCCCAAAGAATGCCACAAAGCACGGTCCTGAGCCACCTGCATCCATCGACTTCTTGCAAATCTTACCAGGTCGTCACTCCATCTAGTGGGGGGACGCCCTACACTTCGCCTGCCGGTACGAGGCTGCCACTCGAGAACCTTTCTTCCCCATCGGTTGTCGGTTCTTCGAGCTATATGGCCGGCCCATTGCCACTTCAGCTTACTAATCCGTTGGGCTATGTCGGTCACTCTGGTTCTACTGCGGATATCCTCATTTCTGAGTTTATCACGCAGAGAAACTCCGAGCATAGCCCTCTCCATAGCTCGCTGAGCGACCTTGAGCTTCCTCATCCGGCCAGCAGTGAAGGACCACGTCTCAGTTCCGTATGTCATCACTGGCAACACGCACTGGGTGTACAGTCTCGTTTTCAAGTTTTGAGGTATACCTGACGAGAAGATGTGCCGTAATTTCCCGAACGCTGCCCAACCGAGTTGAATCCGTCGATTGACCTCTCGGTCGAAGTTGGACTTACCTAGTCGGACTATTTGTCCCAGGTAAACATACTCGTCAACAACTTCGAGCTTAGTGTTCCCAACAACTACCGGCATAGGTGTGACATGGACATTAAACATGATCTTTGTTTTGTCCATGTTCATCTTAAGACCTATCCGTTGGGAAACACTATTGAGGTCATTGAGCATAGTGCTTAGGTCCTCCAGCGATTCTGCCATAAGGACTATATCGTCGGCAAATCGAAGGTGAGTGATGTACTCGCCATTGATGTTGATAGCGTATCCTTTCCAGTCCAGAAGCTTGAAAACATCTTCCAATGCAGCGGTGAAGAGTTTCGGGGATATGACGTCACCCTGTCTTACACCTCTCTGCAATTGGATAGGTTTCGTACTCTGGTTCTGTACTCGGATAGCCATCGTAGCCCTACTGTACAAGCACTTCAACACTTCGATATACCGACAGTCAACTTGGCATCGCTGAAGGGACTGCAGCACCGCCCAAATTTCGACGGAATCAAAGGCTTTCTCATAGTCCACATACGCCAGACATAGTGGCAAATTGTACTCCTCGGACTTCTGTACAATTTGCCGAAGGGTATGTATGTGGTCTATGGTGCTAAAGCCTTTTCGGAAACCGGCTTGTTCGGGAGGCTGGAAGTCGTCAAGTCTGCGCGCGAGACGATTCGTAATGACTCTCGAAAACAGCACGTAGACGCGGCTCAGAAGGGAAATCGGTCTGTAGTTCTTCAAGAGAGCGTTGTCGCCTTTCTTGAAGAACAAGACCACCGCACTTCTGCTCCACGCCTCCGGTGTAATGCCACCATAGAGGACGGAATTAAAGAGCTTCTGAAGGACTTCAAGTACCGGTTTTCCACCCGCTTTCAGAAACTCCGCTGTAATTCCATCCTGGCCTGGGGCCTTGCCGTTTTTAAGGTGCTGGAGAGCCATTCTAATCTCGCTCAGACTGACGTCCGGGATATCATCGGAATAATGTCGGATAAGACTCGCTCTTGGATCGTTACTCACACTTGCGTGTGGCTCCAACGATGACGTGTACAGCTGCCCATAGAACCTCTCAATCTCACTCAAAATCTCAGGTGCCCCGGAAACGATGCTGCCACATTCGGTCTTCAGCTTTGACAGTTGGCTCTTTCTGGCAGACAGATCTCTGGCAAAGACTTTGGAGCCTTGGTTCCGCTCGATCGCTTCTTCAATACGAGCTGTATTGAAGTTGCGTAAGTCCCGCCGCATGCATTTGGAGATCTGTCTGTTCAGTTGCCTGTATGCTGTCAAATCTGTTGAAGAATGTAGCTTCATCTCCCGTCTAACAGCCATGAGATTAAGAGTGTGATCGGAGAGTTTTTGTGTTCTTCTGCGGCGGGTCTTGCAGAACTTAGCTCCGACCGCATGGACAGTTTCCACGAGCTTGTCATTCAAATCGTCCACTTCATTGCAGTCTTCTAGGCACTGAAAACGGTTTTGCAACTCGAGCTGAAAGGTTTCGGGACTTTGGATTAGAGCACGAGGGGGACGGAGCGTTGACTTCATTAGACGACTTTAACAATATTTGCATCGATTACTTAAATTTCGATTATTCTTGTCTTATTATTCTATCTTATTATTAAGAGCTGGTGTTTCACATGTCGTCCCATATAAATTTGATCGAGGTCAGACCAATAGTTTTTGAGTTATCATTAATTATTTATATTGAAGTCGGTTGTAAAATTTTTTAATTTTTAATTATTATCGTAGTAAGTCTGGTATGATATCCCCTTTAAAATCATAACTCAAGAGTTGCGGGTTGTTATTTTATGTGTCTCACTACCAATGCTTTTCTAATATTCACTAATAATAAAAAAGTAGTAAATTACTACTAGCCTCCTTTCAACTTCAAATGACCTTTCCAAAATATGTAAAAATGTTAAATGAATGGCGGTTTTTTTTATTTATTACGTTGGAAAGACGCAAAATGGTTATATGCGTCTTTCATTCGATGTTTTTATGTGGCCAGGTGTATTTTTTAAGCTAAAATGAAAAAGAAAATTCGTTTTATTTAAATAAATAAACAAATTATCAAAAAAATAAGTTCGTCTTTAAAATCTTCAAGTCTCTACGTATTTCAATTTTCATATTGATACCTTTTAATATACTTTAGACACAGCAGGGTCTCAAAGAAAAATTCATCTATTTATTTTTTATTTCGATTTTACGTTTTTGTTAGTTGTGTGCTTCTTTATTATGACGGCAGAATGCCTAACCCTGTCGCCTCACGCTTGTGACGCAGTAGGTTTCAGGCCTTGGCCAGACAGTTCCGTGTTGATTTTGTACACGCGTGCGCGAGCGACAGTTCAATCGTTTTTTTTAATAAATTTACTTGTGATTACGTGTTGATATTATTGTTGTTGTAACGTTTTTGGATTCTTTTTTGTTTTAATAATGCCTAACGCGTACGTTTATAGTGCTCAACATGTTAGGTATCCGAACCTAGGTACACGAAGTCAGCGATACCTAAACTTTGTAAGTGAACAGTTGGTGGACATTTTAGACGACCTATCGTTGGCTGAATATCGCCGCACATGGCTCCAGCATGATGGTGCCCCTCCACATGTCGTGAGGTTAGTCCGTGAGCGCCTCAATGAGCTATTTGATGATCGCTGGATCGGCAGACTAGGACCACACGCTTGGCCACCTCGCTCACCAGATCTGACCCCGTTGGACTTCTTTCTGTGGGGGTATGTGAAAGAAAGGGTTTTTAATCGCGAGTGTGATAGTGCTGATGAAATGCGCCAAAGGATCGTGGATGTTTTCGACAAACTACGTACGGACTGTGTCGAAGACCACACGATGATGCCCCGCCTGCATGAGGAGATGCAACACCGAGCCCAAATCTGCCTTGAAATGAATGGAGCACAATTTGAGCCGCAT